GAAAAGCCCTGGGGAAAATTGATGCACAGAGAGATCTGGGTGTTCAGGTCCATTGTACCCTGAAGGTGGCAACTCAGGTCGATAGAGTGGTCAAGAAGTCATATGGCATGCTTTCATTCATTGGACGGGGTATTGACTACAAGAGTTGGCAGGTCATGTTACAGTTGTATAGGACTTTGGTTCGACCACATTTGGAATACTGCGTACAGTTCTGGTCGCCACATTACCAAAAGGATGTGGATGCTTTGGAGAGGGTGCAGAGGAGGTTCACTAAGATGTTGCCTGGTATGGAGGGCGCTACCTATGAAGAGAGGTTGAGTAGATTAGGATTATTTACATTAGAAAGATGGAGGTTGAGGGGGGACCTGATTGAGGTCTACAAAATCATGAGAGGTATAGACAGGGTGGATAGCAAGAAGCTTTTTCCCAGAGTGGGGGACTCAATTACTAGGGGTCACGATTTCAAGGTGAGAGGGGAAAAGTTTAAGGGAGATATGTGTGGAAAGTTCTTTACGCAGAGGGTGGTGGGTGCCTGGAATGCGTTGCCAGCGGAGGTGGTAGAGGCAGGCACGATAGCGTCATTTAAGATGTATCTAGACAGATACATGAATGGGCAGGGAGCAGAGGGATACAGATCCTTGGAAAATAGGCGACAGGTTTAGATAGAGGATCTGGATCAGCGCAGGCTTGGAGGGCCGAAGGACCTGTTCCTGTGCTGTAATTTTTTTTGTTCTTTGTTCTTTGCAGCAGGTTATGTGGATTGACCATGCTAAATTGCCCATAGTGCCCAGGGATGTGCAGTCTAGGTGGATCGAGAAATGTATGTTTACAGGGATAGGGTAGGGGGTGGGTCTGGGTGGGATGCTTTTTGTCAGGTCAGTGTGGACTCAATGGGTTGGATGGCCTGCTTCCACACTGTAGGGATTCTATGACTTTTAAACTGTATGTAGGTTAAAATCATTCATGATTATTGTCCTTTTACAAAGACCTAATATTTCTTTTTGTCTATTCCCACTAGTGGCTCATTTCCCATACTATTCCTTACCCACACCCAAAGCAACTATACATCTTGATATGAACCAAGGTCATCTCTAAACAAATCCATCATTGATTAATAGTGCTACCCCACCATGTTTATCTAGTTTCCTATTCTTCTTGAATGTCATATACCATTTAATATTCAAGACCCTATACTTGTTATCCCGCAGACACTTATCATAATGACTATCAGTTCATAGTTTAGGCTGCTGTATCAGTGCAGTATTCAAGGAATGTTTCCTCATGGGACCGCAAATGGTGCCAATACACTCTTACGTAGGAGAAAGAGAATTACACTGAACTGGGAATTTCTTCAGTGTTCACCCCCTTTGTTGCCATTACCTTCCTTGCTTAAGTAACCAGTGTTACTGGCAAAGTCATGGCATGGAGCAGGAATAGCTCTGAAGAAAACCCTGGCCCTGGGCATCCTTGCCAATACTTATCTCTTAATATGAACTCATTGATATTTCTGATCAGTCATTGTATATAAATTGGGTGTAATTTCTCCCTTACAACATTAGTTCTGGACAGTTGGAATGTACATGGCTTGAGAAAAATATTGAATAAATGAAAATGCTTCTTTCTTTTTGAGGAAACATTACTTTGATTTATATTTAACTGGGTTCATTTCAAATTTATATTAATTTTATTTTGTCTTGAACATCATATCCATTTGCCAAAACACTGTCACTTTTTAGAATATGTAACCTGTAGGTTGATATGTAGAGGACGTGATTTACTGCAGGATTTCTCCTGCAGGTTCTCCAAAATTTCAATGAAAGAACCAGGGAAATTCTACAAACATTGTGGATTTCTGTGTTTCTGCAGGTCTTCTGCCAAGGTCACAGCCAATGAGGAGAAAATCCACCCTGGACTATTTATATTTTTTAAAAAGGCAATATTGGAAAAGCCAAGTGTTTGGCACTTTAGTTAAAATAAAGCTGCTTGAGTCAAATTATAATTGGAATTTATCATTTTGCCTAAATGTAAAACTGAGGGGTAACTTTGCAAAACCATTATTGCAACTCTATCTCAACCCACATTTCCTATGGATGTGATTACTCATTGACAGTTCTGGATAGCAAAATATCCCTCTGTTCACTGCAAAATTTCATTATTCTTCTTTATTATGCCCTTACTTTTTCTCCAACTTTGCCCTACCATTAGAAAAAGAATGACTCCTGCTGCAATTCCACAGTCTCTGCCAGCCAGCCAATGATTACCTTATCCAAATGACAGCTCTCCATCTTTGAACAAGACAGAAGGGACCAATGGAAGTTGTATTTTGTATCATTGTGTGACATCATAACCAAATCCATTACTGTCCTCCTTTCGTGCTCCGAAATATACACAAACCTCGCAATGGTAAATGCTGAATAGTGATCAATAAAGGCAATTTGGCTGACCTTTGTCATTTAACCTTTAAGTGGTCTTCTCAATTGCAATGCTACCCTAGCAGGGATCAATTCACTCAACACAAATGAGGAATTAAATTTAGCAAGAGGGAAAATTATCTATCAGCATTCCTGATCAATAGCGAGTGATCAAATGACTATCTCCAAAGAACTGCATGTATTCGTTGACGTCACATAAGGACACAAGTTGGCTGAGGTGAAATACAACATAGCCAAACAGAAAGCAAGAAATCTGCAAAAAATTAAAGATATTCAAAGGCTGTCTGCTTTACCTCCTGGAACCTCTTCTCAGTTGTTGTTCATGAATAAATAACAGTGAGTGATTAGGAAGGATGTTTAAGTCAATCATTGAGTCAACATGATATATTAGGCTTGATGACACAATAACTCTTTCCCTGTCTGTCATTTTCCTATATTCATGTTCATACCTTTATGTTTTCCAGCCATTAAGAAAATTGTACTTTTGCACAGGGATAGAGTTAGATGTCATAGCACCTCCCACTGAGCCCATGGGATTTTGACCTCTGCAGAAAGGAAAACTAGATCTTATGGCAGCAATTAATTGTGTTTAATTATAAACCAGCTGCTTGCTTCTGCAGTCTACTCAGCTACATTTAAGAAACAAGGCAATGAAGGGAATACACTATTATGTGAAGGAACAGATGGTCAGGGATGTATTGTTAAGGTGTGTGGTCCCCTTTCTAGCTGACAACTAGCTCAGTACCTTGTTCTCAATAGTAATGTGTCTCTTGCCATCTGCTAAATATGTGAAATTAAAAATATGAAGAGATTGACACCCAAACACTAGAAAATATAACGTAATTTAAATAAATACTATAATATGTAAGATGATTAACAAAGTGCATTCTTATGCATTGACAGTTATGCTTGGAAACAGATTAAGCCATCCAGTTAATTCCATTCAAACAATCCAGATTGTGAAGGGGCTTCACAGAGCAGATACAGAGATGTTGTTTTGTAACATCTAAAACAAGGTACAGTTTCAGGATGAGGGGCAGGGCATATAGCACCAACTGGCAGCCGTTCAAGAAGGCAGCTCACCGCCTTCTCCAGGGCAACTAGGGATGGGCAATAAATGCTGGCCAGCCAGCAAAGCCCACATCCCATGAGTGAATTTTAAGAAAGTTTCTGTAACCTTATTTTGTCATCAATTCCCAATATACCGTTTAACTACAATAACTAATTATCTAGACTGAGTATGCATGTTGTCAATGCCACATAATCTCAAAGGAACATAAAATTCTGACTGAGAGAAGAATAAGCAAGTTGAAACGTGCCTCTGGTTGTGACGGCACTCTGTGAAGCATTCTTACTGCCTACACTTCATAGCTAAGAAACTTTAACCTGCTTTCTCCTTCACTACACTACCAAAGAAATCTTGGGGGTAACTATTACCTTTATTGTCAGCAAATGGAGAATTATTTAACCTTTTCACACACTTCAATCTCCTTTTCAGATCAAAGTCTATCAGGTTGTAATTCACTATCACTTGTACCTTGCCCAGTGATAGATAGAAGGTCAAAAGGTAAAACTATTCACGTTGGGTCGATTCTTGTCAAGGTGGCTTTGGTGGATAATCCTTAAATCAGGGCAATCTGTCTCTGCTTTTTCGGATTTTGTTGCAATCAGGAAGCTTAAACTCTGCAAACTGGGCTCCTGAAATCTTAAGGATCAAGAACCCATCTCCAAGAGCTGCTCGCCAATTGCAGCCATCCACCAGGGTCACCTTGACCCCAACATCCCTTTGTTTTGCTTGAGTGTTATGTCCATGATTCTTCCTCAGAATACATGCAGTCTCTGCAGTAGCTATTGGTCCTGAAAAGCCCTAACGGGTTTCATGATATGTTGCTGTGCTATTTGAGCTTTAAAAGCACAACTCTTCTCAATATCAACAAAAAGTACAAAGCAGAATCTTCCTGCCAGACAAAATGTCATAGCTCTGTTACAAACACAGTTTGACCAAAATAGGTTTCTTGAGGGAATAATTTCAGGCATCTATTGAACATTGCCCGTGATTGCTATAGCCCTCCTTTTGCCCTCACCAGATTTAGGAAAACATTTATTTAAACAGAGTGGCACTTTCATTCTGTTTGCAAGAATGAAGCGGTGTGAAAAAAGACTTAAATCGCAAAACATCACAGTGTTTAATCTGTTGCTTGGTATACATCCTTACGTGAAAGCTGACAACATAAGAAAGAAAAAATGTATAAATGTTAAATATATGACTGGCCTGGAGGAAAGAATGCAAAGTGTTCTCTTTCTTTTTAATCACACTCAGCATAAAACATCAGGTCCATAAGTGGATTCAGAACCTGATATGAAAATGACAATAATGGGAATTGGCAACATCATCACAAATGTGAGCCTTTTTCTATTCAATAATTATTTCAAAGGCTCCACTCCAATTGAATGTAGCCAGGTATTTTCCTCAAAGAACCAGCCAGCAACATTCTTCAGACTTCAAGACACATTTACTTTTAAGTCTGAAATTAACCATAAATAAATGTGACTTATGTAATGGCTCACCTCAATACTGGAAGAACTGACAGAAGATCCTTTATATAAAAGAAAGGCATGGAAGCGAATAATGGTAAAAGGAAGGGAACGGACCTGGAAACAACAATCAGAACAAGTGAAATATGTCAAGGTCAAGCAAAGTTTAGACAATAAACATATTCAGCTCAGTCGAAACTTCAGAGATTCTAAATCCTCCCCTATATCATTCAGTTGCCACCTCCACACTAAGAGATGAGGGCTAAAGACTAAAGGGTAAACAAGTTACTTGTTCTTAAGTACAGAAATGCAGGGAACATCTCCTGCATTTGAATGTGCAAGTCTCTGGTATACCGAATTTTAAATTGTAGCTTTCAGTATCATCAAACTGTTAAGTTGCAGATACATATACATCTGAGACTTTTTAGCCAGTTGTCAAGAAAGTAGCATCAAAGATCAAGCACTACATCACCAGTAATAAGTCTTGGGTAAGTCTTTGAAAGGCATATTATTAGGTTCCATGTTCAGGTTGTGCACTACCATGACCTTGGCTGATTATCCCCAGTAATCCAAAATATAAACCAATTTTTTGACTTTATTAATAGATTACACACAAGGATAGGCAGGCATATGTGATGACCTTGCACTTTGATGATAATTTTGTAGCAAAACTGATCATAAATCTTGACTTGGGTTGGTAAAGTGTTATTTCCTGACATGTGAACATCACTAACAAGGCCAACATGTGATGCCAATCCCTAGTTGTACTGGAGAAGGTGGTGGTGAGTTGTTTTCTCAAATTGAGGTAGACCATTTAGTGTAAGTCCATCCACTGTGCTATTAAGGGACAGGATCCTGACCTGGCAATGCAACTTATTCTTTATTGCCCTCTCAAATGATCTAGCAGTCCGGTCCATTGTATCTGACCACCACAAAGTCAGATAAAAAGAAGGAAATCAGACAGACAACTCAGAATCGTAAAAGGTACCGGAAACAACAAGAGTACACACAGCCTTGTTAATCCTGCAAAGCCTCCCCTTACTAGGATCTGGAGGCTTAAGCCAAAATTGGGAGAGCAGTCTCACGGACTAGCCAAACATCAGTCTGACATACTTATTCTCATGGAAACGTACCTTACAGACAGTGCCTCATCATTACTATCATTGTATCAACAGGACAGACCCATCAGCATTGGTGGTGGCACCTGGGCTTCCTCAACATTGACTTTGGACCTCATTGCATCAGGTCAAACATGGGTAAGGAAACTGCCTGCTGATTACCACCTCCCACCTGCTCTCAGCTGATGAATCATTTGAACACTATTCGCATGCCAAGCAGCTTAATCAATATGTGATAGACAGGGCTAAGGAATTCTACAACCAATGGATCAGATCTAAGCTCTGTACTCCTATTATATTCAGTCACTAATGGTGGTGGACAATTAAACAGCCCACTGGAGTAGGAGCCTTCGCGTCCTCAGTGATTTTGGTGGAGTTGCGGTGGGTCTGTGGTGGCAAACACTTCAGCACAAAAGTCAGGGCTGAAGCATTTATAAGTATTTTGAGCCACAAGTGCCGAATGGATGATCCCTTTCAGGCTTCTCATGAGGTTCCCAGCATCACGGATGGCAGCCTTTAGCTGATTCAATTCTCTGCACTTGATATAATGAAATGGCTGCGAGCATTGATACTGCACAAGCAATAGGCACCAACAAGGTGCCAGCAATAGTACTAAAAACTTACGATCCAGAACTCATTGAACCCTAAACCAAGCTACACCCCAGTCATCTACTTGACAATGTAGAAAGTTGCCGAGGTAAATTCAAACCTACTACTCTGCTCTCAATCATCAGTAAAAATGACAGTAGGAGTTGCTGACAGCATTTACTGAGCAATAACTTACTCACTCATGCTCGGATTGGATTTCGCCAGGGCCACTCAACTCCTGACCTCATTACAGCCTTGGTCCAGACATAGATAAAACAGGTGAAATCAAGAGAGGAAGTGAGGATGACTGCCCCAATGTCAAAGCAGCATTTGGCTGAGTGTAGCATCAAGGAATCCAAGCAAAACTGGAGTGAATGGGATTCGGGGGGAAAATACTGATCTGGTTGAATTCATAGTTGGTACAAAGGAAGATGGTTGTGGTTATTGGAGATCAGTCATCACACGTGCCAGACAATGACCATCTCTAACAAGACAGAATCTAACCGTCATCTCTTGACATTCAATGGCATTATCAACATCCTGGAGTTACCATTTACCATAAATTGAATTGGACCAGTCGTATAAATACTGTGGCTACAACAGCAGGTGAAAGATTGGGTATTCTGTGAAGAAACACACCTTCTGAGTCCTCAAAGTCTGTCCACCAACTACAAGGCATAAGTCAGAAGTGTGATGAAATACTCCCTACTTGCCTGGATGAGTGCAGCTGTAACAACACTCAAGAAGCTTGACACCATCCAGGACAAAGCAGCCTGCTTGACTGGCATGCCATCTTACACTTTCAATAATCACTTCTTCTACCACAAAGCGCTAGTAGATGTATTACAACAACTCATCAAGTGTCCTTCAACAATACGTTCCAAACCAGCAACTTCTACCATCTAGAAGAAAAAGCGTAGTACATTAATGGGAACACCATGTGCAAGTTCTTCTTTATGCACACCAGCCTGATCTGAAGCTATGTTGTTGTTCCTTTACTGCACTGGGACTAAACTCCCTCTTGGACAGCAGTGTGGGTGAAAAGAAACACAGAAAATGTTTGTGAGCTTTGAAAGTGTTCAGTTCTGAGGAGCCATACTGGACTTGAAATGTTAACACTGTTTCTCTCTCCACTGATGCTGCCAAACCTGCTGGGTTTCTCCAGTACTTGATGTATTTGTTTCAGATTTCCAGCATCCATTCTATTTTGTTTTCATAGCAGTGTAGGTGTGTTTATACCACACGGACCGTAACAGCTCAAGAAGGCAGGTCACCACCACTTTCTCACACAAACTGCAAATGATTTTTCAAAAAGTGAAGCATTGACAATGGTGTTCCAAATGAGACTGCATTGTGGCCTATAGGGGAATATTCAGCTAATGACCTTTCCACGTGTTGCAAATCTATTTCATTATACAATCTTTTCAAATGCAGTTGGACTTGTCGCCAACATCAACCATGTTGCAATGGTAAAAAACCCATTAGATATAGCAAGTAAGGGCACATCTATGAGAAGGGACTATTAGAAGTCAATGCAGGACTGAGGGTTTTGTACGCATGCACACAGTATACAAAACAAGGTAAATTAACTTATAGTGGTGTTGTGGGTATCACAGAGACATGGCTGCAAGGGGGTCAGGACTGGGAATTAAATATCCAAGGATACGCATTCTATCAAAAGGACAAATTAGCAGAGGAGGCTGGGTTACCTTGTTAGCAAGAAATGAAATTAGAATGATAGCAAGGAGTGATAGAGAGTTGGAAGGCATAGAATCTGTGTGGATAGAATTGAGGAACTGCAAAGCAAAAAGTGCTGATGGAAGTTACGCACAGGCCTTCAAGCAGTTGTCAGGATGTGGGGGAAAAAATAAATTAATAGGTAGAAAAGGCATAAAAGAAAGGCTCTATTACAATAATCATGGAGGACTTCAATATGCAAAGACTGGGAAAATCATTTTGGTAGCGGAACCCAAGAAGGGAAATTTGTGGAATGTCTGCAAGATCAGTTTTTGGAGCAGCTTGTGATGGACCCCATGAGGGAACAGGCAATTCTGAATTTAGTGATGTGTGATAAGGTGAAGGAACCCCTAGGAGTCAGTGACCACAGCATGATAGAATTCACCCTGCACTTTGACAGGGAGAAGATAGAATCAATTGTAATGATATTACAATTGAGTAAAGTTAACTACAAAGACATGAGGGAAGAGCTGGCCAGAGTTGATTGGAAAGGGAGCCTAGCAGGGAAGACAGTGGAGCAGCAATGGCAGGAGTATCTAGGGGTAATTTGGGAGGAACAGCAAAAATTGATCCCAAGGAAGAAGAAACATACAGAGGGGAATAGGAGGAAACCATGGCTGATAAGGGAAGTCAGGGACAGCAAAAAACCAAAAGCAAAACCATACAATGTGGTGAAGAATAGTGGGAAGCCCGAGGATTAGGAAGTCTTTAAAAGCCAGGAGAACACAACTATAAAAGCAATAAGGGGTAGAAGATGAAATATGAGGGTAAGCTAGCTAGTAATATGAAATAAGATTGCAAGAGTTTGTTTAGATAAAAAGTAAGGGAGAGACAAGAGTGGACATTAGACCACCAGAAAACAAAGCTGGAAAAGTGGCAATGGGGAACAAAGAAATAGCAGAGGAACTGAATATGTACTTTGCATCAGTATTTACAGTCGAAGACACCAACAGCATACCAGCACTTCAGGAGAGATAGGGGATCGGTGAATGTAGTGACCATAACTAAGGAGAAGATGCTGAGGAAACTGAAAGGTCTAAAGGTGGATAAATCACTCGGACCAGATGGACTACACCCAAAAGATGTGAAGGAGATAGCTGAGGAGATTGTCGAGTTATTGGTCGTGATCTTTCAGGCATCGCTAGAGTCAGAGGGTCCCAGAGGACTGAAAAATAGCTAATGTAACACCCCTGTTTAAGAAGGCAGGGAGGCAGAAGATAGGAAATTATAGGCTGGGTAGCCTGACCACCATCATTGGTAAGATTTTAGAGTCCATTATTAAGGATGAGATAGTAGAGTACTTGGAAGTGCATGGTAAGATTGGGCTGAATCGACATGGCTTTGTCAAGATGAGGTCATGCCTGACAAATCCGTTAGAATTTTTGACGTGGTAACAAGCAAGTTAGACAAAGGAGAGCCATTGGTTGAGATCTGTTTGGATTTCCAGAAGGCCTTTGACGAGGTGCTGCACAGGAGTCTGCTAAATAATTTAAGAGCCCATGGTGTTAGGGGGCAAGGTATTGACATGGGTAGAGGATTGGCTGATTGGCAGTGGTGTTAAAGCGATCTTTTTCAGGATGGCAGCCAGTGACCACTGGGGTTCCACAGGAGTTAGTTTTGGGACCACAACTATTCATGTTATACATTAGTGACCTGAATGAAGGAACTGGGAGC